AGCATCAAAAACTACTCTTAATTTTGTCGTTACACTAGATTCCTTTGTAACGCCCTGATGAGGGAGAAAATATTCGAATTTAGGCCTTCCGCTTCTTTAATAATTGTCATAATGATGCAAATCGATTTACTATAAGATTAATTATTTGTTTTTTAAATCCTTATTCTTCTGTTTTCTTAAAACAATAAAACAGAAGTAAAAGAATTCCTTAAAACAGCAGAAAAAATATTAAAAGGAAAAATAAAGAAATTAACCTACGCATGGTGAAAACAGAAAATATAACCTTTTTTTTCATCTTTATAGAGGGGGGATCTGGAATCTTCAAAAGACATCTTAGTCCAGGACGCTGCCTGACTAACCTTAGTGCAGGATTCCTTCTTCGTACTCCTGTCGATAGTTCTCGAGGTATTTTAAAATACCATCTCGTCGCCGAGTCTACGCCGAACGCCTACCTGCCAAACCAGACCCTCCTCTGTCATCCAGCGATGCAGTATATTTATTCATTCATTCTCCATTCATACACATCCACAAATATAACCTGGAAGATAATAACTTCCTTTTGTTAATATTTGTATTAGTTTGGTCAATTATAATTAGTGAATGGGCATAAATTAATAAATCTTGTTTTCACACAACCATATATCTTTTTCTTTTTGGAGGTTAGTTATTATCTCTGGTTAGTTCTTTCTCGGAGGTTGGTTATTATACTAGCCATTCATGTCTTATTAGCAGCAGTTCTGAAGAGCTACAATTTTGCTAATTTTAAAGGTTTCTCAGCTGGTGAATGTCTTTATCATTTTTACAAATATTTGTTTCGTAATTTTAATTCGTGTTCTTATTTCTCTAATTATATTGCTCCCATTTATCAAGGTTGTTCGATATTTGTAGTTGTTAATCCTTTCTGCTCATTTCCTACAGGAGTTCTCTAGTATATTTCGCATTTATTATCAATTTGGTTTTCTTCGCATTTATTATCAGTTTGTGTTGGTTACTGCATTGATTTAATTTATTTGCTATGTTTTGCAATAATTCTAAACTGTGAGTTAATATATCTTTAATAATGGAAAAAAGTACCACTACTCAAGCGGGCCTCAATGTTAAAAATAAAAGTTTTTCAAAACTTACAATTTTTGTTTGTATTTTTTATCTTTTCAACATTAAAAATTCCAACATTTCAACAATAAAAACTTCTGGATGGACTTGAGGCTGTCGTCTCAATATTTTCTATAAGTGTATTCAAAAACACACGGAAACAACTGTTACGGAAACAATCAGTCGGACGGATTTTTTGTCGACGAATTCTCAAACGAATTGAAAGGAATTCATACTGAATAAACGACTGAAATTAGAAGTCACAGCTTTCGATTCAATAAGTCCAAGGATATGTAGAATCCGTATTAAAGGCAGGTTCTTTAATTATAGCATTATCAATATCCATGCTCCCACTAAAGATAAAGAAGACGAGGAGAAGGACATGTTTTACGAGAAACTGGAAAGCACTTACAAACAATGTCAGAACAACGACATAAAGATTATTATTGGTGATTTTAACGCTAAAGTCAGCCAAGAGACTATTTACCAACCCACGATCGGGGAGCATAGTCTTCATGCTGTCAGCAACCAAAATGGTTTACGCCTGATTGAACTCACAGTATCATTGGGAATGGTGGTAATCTACTAATTGATAGTCGACATTTCTCGGATATACTAGATGTAAGAGCAAGTAGAGGTGCTTATATAAACTCTGACCACTACCTTGTAAGAACAAAACTCAGGGCTCGTATATCAATTGCTAAGAAGGGCCAGAGCACAAAATCTACAAAATATAATATTGATGTGCTAAAATCTGAAGATGCTAGGGATAACCACAGGAAAATTTTAAATAAAGAGCTGACAAGAATCGACGAAAATTTAAGTATAGAAGAACACTGGACCAAATGCAAGGAAGCTATCCATATAGCAGTTAAGGCTTTTTAAAACCTAACCAGGTTAAAATAACCGAAGATTGGTTTAACGAGGAATGTAGATCCATTAACCAACAGAAAAATGACTTCAAGAGTCATTCAAATACGAGAGACTTCAGCAGCGCAGAACGAGATCAAACATGGAAGACTATGAGAATCTTAGACGAGAAAACAGAAGGACGTTTAGAAAGAAAAAGAAAGAGTCATACTAAAACGCTCTAAACGAGATTGTTAACCACAACCACAGAAAAGACTCGCGAAAATTCTACCAGAAGATAAACAGCTGCAGAAAAGAATTAAAATCCAGAATAACAGCATGTAAAGACAGAGATGGTTCCATAATTAGTGACAAAGAACAGATACTAAATAGGTGGGCGAATCATTTTGAAGAACTGCTTAGCGACAGTCGTGAAGAAGACCAAATAGAAATTACCTTGCCTGAAATGGATGAAAATCCTCAAGAGCCGCCCCCCACCGAAGAAGAAATTAGAGAGGCCATTTCAAAACTGAAAAATAATAAAGCCCCTAGGTTGGACAATCTCCCTGCCGAACTTTTTAAAAATGATGGTGACACCCTTCTTAAAAATATGCATAAATTAGTAACCGAAATCTTGCTACGGAAGGAAACGCCCGCAGATTGGAAATTAGGTGTAATCCACCGTCTACACAAAAAAGTAGATATGATGGCGTGTGATAATTACAGAGGCATCACCCTACTTAACGTAGCATATAAAATATTGTCCGACGTATTTGACAGAAGATTGATCCCGCAGATTCTTAAGAAAACGGTTGAGTTCGGAGTCGACACCGACTACATATTCGTGGATTTCAAAGCCGCATACGACTCAGTCAACAGACAAAAACTTGTACAGGCTATGGTGGAATTTCAAATGCCGCTTCATCTTGTTCAACTAACGGAACTTACACTCACAGGCGTAGAGAGTGTAGTCAAATTCCAAAACGACTTTTCAAGACACTTCCATTGTAAAAATGGACTGTGACAGGGAAATGGACTGTCGTGTCTCTTATTTAACCTTGCACTAAAAAAAGTAATTCAAGAGTGCCATATTTACACGAATGGCATAATCTTTATTAAATCTGTACAAGTGGTTGGATATGCAGATGACATAGACATTATTGCTAGGTAAACGGAATCTCTGATCGAAGCATTTCGATTACTAAGGGCGTCTGCACTGAGAATGGGATTAAAAATTACTGCACAGAAAACCAGGTATATGTATTGTACTAGATCAGGTAACCAGATACCTAGACTATTAATTGATGATCTGGAACTGGAAGGTGTGGAAGAAATTAAAAGAAGAATAGTGCTTGCCAATAAGTGCTGTTATGGCTTGAGGAAACAGATGGCCCCAAAACTACCCAGAAAAATTAAAATTATCGTATATAAAATACTAATAAGGCCAGTGTTAACATACGGGTCAGAAACGTGGTCACTCACACAGATTGACCAAGAACTGCTTAGACGTTTCGAGAGAAAAATTCTAAGGAAAATGTATGGAGGAGTCCAAGAACAGGGTTTGTGGCGTAGGCTCTATAACCTTGAATTATAGAGAAGTTTTGGGGAATCTGACGTTGTAAAATTTATTAAATTAGCATGCCTTCGATGGATAGGACATGTAATTAGGCGAGATGAAGATGCAATTATCAGAAAAATTTTTGACCGAAGAAGACCAATGGGAAGACGATCCAGAGGAAGACCAAAACTAAGGTATAAAGATAACTAAGAAGATGATCTCAACTCCATTGGAGTTAAAGCATGGAGAAGAGTTTCCAGACACAGGGGCGAATGGAAGATTGATCTAAAGAAGGCTTTGGCTCATAACGAGCTATAATGCCACTGATGATGAAGTGTGTTCAAAAACATATCGGTCCTTTTAAATTATTAAAACTAATTTATCATCTACGAATCTTGTGTTTTTACGTTTATAGTTATATTTTAATCCTTTTCGGATAATGTTTCCTTCTAAGAACATCATAACGTTGGCTATCATCAACGCAATCTGCACTTTGTTAACAGCTTTTCTAAAAAGAGTCATAGTGCTGACTCCATACCATTATATATATATATATATATATATATATATATATATATATATATATATATATATATATATATATATATATATATATATTTCTTCAGTCAGAAAGTACAACCTGGAGCTCTCATTTAATCTTTCTTTCTATTATTAATTTTAGAAGTCCGTATTTGCCATTTCTTGGGATGCAGCGTAATATTTAAGCTTGGGTTTTTTAAATAAATAAAACTTCATGTTCTTTACCCGATCTTATAAGGACTTCTTCGTCTAAAGACAGCTTTGCTTTAAATGTTGAATAACAATGAATACAACATGCATGCTGTGACAAACATACGAGCCACGTGTTCTTCGAGTTACCAATCAGAGTTGCAATTATCTCTTTAAGCATTGGCCACTCCATGCATGCTCCATCGTCCTTTGAGCCACACGGATATTTTGAACTGTTCTTCTTGTCATGTTCAACGTGAGTACCGTATGTCAACACCAGCAATACATTTTAATTAAAGATTGTTAATTAATTAAATTTTAGCATACATTTTCACATGATATTTTATCATCTGAGTTTTAGACATATTGATTTTGAATCCCCCTTTGAAAGAAAAAAGTTGGTGCTGATTTCGAAGTTATTTCGCCTCATCTATCCTATCATGTATTAACACAATATTATTGGCCTCGAATAGTTAAGCTTTTCATCACTTATATTTATGCCTTTGCAATATACATAACATAATATATACAATTTATTATATAAAACACAACTATTTTGAATGTAATTGAATTAAAATTTTAATTTGGTTAGTTAGTTAATATTTAAGAGCCATTTGTCACTCAATAAGTATTGTTGAATAATGCTCTTCTAAATGTGCCTATCTTCTAGAGACATTGAGCAATGTACTTGCTTGAAATGAATACAAAATATGTTACACACTTTATTGTAATTAATTTCAATAGTTAATATTTATTAATATAATTGTTTTAGCTGGTTATTGCCCTATTTTGTGACCGGTTACAGAAGAGAGTTAACGGAAGATGATATGTACAGCCACAGAAAAATACACGATTCGACCAGATTGGGAGATCAACTAGAAAAATTATGGACGAAAGAAACACTTCATGCAAAGTCACCATCCTTATTAAGATGTATTTTAAGGACTTATTCAATTCAGCTAATAGGCTTGAGTCTGTGCATATTAACATCTGAATGTTTGAAGTAAGTATTGGATTTTATCGATGGCGTTACATAATTTTTATCGGTATTTTGCACAGTAGAAAATATTAACGTCAATTTAAATACATATTTAAAATTCTTTGTAGCAAATGTCAACTAAGATATTTTCTAAAGTGTTACCTAGTTAGTGGTTATTATAAAAAAACTCTGAACTGTGGGCAGTTTTCCTTTTTTGTATGTGGTTTCCTTAAATAGTTTGTTTTTTATTTTGGCTACTTTTTAAAACAATCGAAATATTCAAGGCGAAAATCTGGGGTGTGTTCGGAAAAATATTCCTATAAACTAGTTTTTATAATCACATTCATGAGAAACTTCAGAATAGGATTCAAGAAGTTGCCCTTGCAAAAAGTGGTCCCAATTGTCTTTAAATAAATTGTAAATTAAAACAAAAATTAACCCATTATTGACGAGATTATTGAGCTTGGTTTAGAACTTGACGACGAGACTATGGAATTTTTGGATTAGATTTTAATCCACGGGAAGAGCAACTCGATGTAGTTAGGGTAAATACCTACTTTAATATTGCAGTTATTAAAGCTAGTTGTGTGGTTAGATTCACTGAGATGAGTGGGATTATTGATATAAATGATCCTTGTACGCTCAACTATTTCGGTTTGGAATTTTTTTTTTGTAAATATTTTTTTAATTCTTATGATCAAAGAAGGTTTGTTACAATTTTTATCTAAATTTGACGGTTTTCAGGCATTAAAGAATTTAAAACTAAAGAAACGAAAAATGAGGATTTTCTCATTGCACAAATAAGTGACCGCCCTGTCGTGAGCGCTTCATTGACAATTAAAAAACAAAGTTTTAAAACAAATTTTTTATTGGGAGTGATGAAAGACGGTTTAAACTTAAATTTAAGCAATTAATAATTTCAAAAGTAATATTTTTACTTCTGTTTTTGAGATAATGGGAGAGAATACAAGTTTATAATCGTTCGACTAAATCAAAGTCTCGTTATTCTACATTTTAAGTACACACTTTTACTACACTTAAACGAAGTAGTTTCTCAAGAGGCTGATATCATGTAGCAGAGTAGTTGGGTCGGTAAATCTTTCATTGAAGACAAATTTAATAATGTATCCAGCGTAAACAAAACCTGAACATAAGATACAACAGTTCGATTAGCAGTTTATACTCATGCGAAATATGGACCATAAATTTCAAGAAAGAATGAAATATAGAGGTTTATGAGGTACAGAAAACATCCTACAGAAAATTTTAGAAGTTATAAAAGTAGCGAAAAGAAAAATTTTGCAAACCAAATTTTACGGACGTACAAAATTTGGGCGTTCTCTGCTCCGTATTGATTCTTGCGTTGGTCTCCACTCTAAAATACGTTTTTTCTATCGGTTGTCTGATAATCTGGCGACATGTCTTGCCCAATTCCATTTTAACGACGCGATTTTTTCGATAACATCTGTTGTTTTTGTTCTACGACGTATTTCTTTATTTGGAATTCGGTCTCTCAGAGAGATACCCAACATATGGCGCTTTATAGCCATCTGAGTCATGCGAATCTTATTAACTACCTTTTTTCTGAGTGACCAACATACATTGGTCAAAGATTTTCCTTTTGAGGCATATGGGTAGATCCTATTGAAATGCATAGTTTAATTTACCAAACGCTGCCTAGGCTAATCCTATGTGACGTGGGAGCTCACGTATGTGGTTATCTCTGCCCAACCGAATTTCATGTCCTGCCTAGTTATACGATATAGTCTGCACAATATCCCTTTTATTAACAGCAATATTTCGATTTACCACCAAATTAGTCATTATTTGCGTCTTGTTCATATTAATCTTTAGTTCGACCTCCAAGGAAGCGTGATATAATTTTTCAAACATTATTATTGCATTATCCATGTGATCGGCTAAAAGGACGATGTGATCTGCAAATCTCAAATGACTGAGCTTCTCTCTATTTATGTTTATACCATGCTCGTTTAGATGTGCTTTCTTACAAGTATGTTCTAAAAGCGTCGTGAATAGCTTTGGAGAGACTGTGTCTCGTTACCGTACTCCTCGCTGTATACAGAATGACTCTCTTATGGTATCGAATGCTTTCTCGTAGTTGACAAATATTCAAAGTAGCCGAAGACTTTTCGCAATGGGATCTCTTATCTCCTCTATTGTGGAATTTGGTCATATATGTGCCAGCTAGATAGCTAGACTCAGCAGCGGTAGGCATCATATACTAGGATATGTGGATGATTAAGCCATCTCAGCTTAAGGCAAATTTTATGGCAGCGTTAGATATATAATGCAACAGACTCGGACTGTATTTTTAAAGAATCGACTTCAAATATAGAGCAAACCCTGAAGTCAAAAATCGTGAAATTTATTAGAAGACGGAATTAAAAGAGATTAAGTCCTCTAAATCTAAACGGTACATATCTTAATCTTCTGAGTGAAATATATGTGTTTTGCTTAAAATCACTAGATCGAACCAATAACCAAGAAAGCGATAACTAAGCTAATAGTAGCCAGACACACTACTAGAGTTTTCACATGGTACTCCTCTTCTCCTTCCTCTTCTTCTTTTTATGTAGGCATAAGTTTCTCATTTTTTCAATGTGTCTACAGTAAGTTGTCGTTGAATCGTTTTCGTGGTCTTCCTACTGATCATCTTGTTAGTGGGGAACCGTTTCTTGCCGTCTTTACTACTCTATTTGTTGTCATTTGGCTTATATAATCGGTTCTTTCTCCACCTTGTATCTATGTCGTATATCTATACCTCTAGCTCCCTTCCATAATCTTCAATTTTTCCAAGTGTTTTTATCTTTGCTGTTTCTAACATCCTTTTTGTCCTCCCTATGTCAGATCGTGTTTCTACCACGTATATCATCGCTCTGATGACTCTTTTGTAAATTCCGTCTTACATTTTTTTTTCGATATTTTTATTTCTCCATATTATTTTATTTAGAAAAGCTGTGGCTCTTTAATCTCTTTACTTGATATTCAACTTCTGTTTCAAGCTTTCCATAGCTAGATGATGTCATGCCCAGGTATTTAAACTCCATAACTTTGGACTATTACACTAATTTTATTATCTGACCTTCCTGCTCCAATTTAAATCTTAGTAAATTTGCTTTTATAACCACAAGGCGTTTTGTCTTTTTTTTTGGGAAAATTAAAGTGTTTAATTTTTTAAAGGTTTTATTGATTTTTTTGCAGCATACGTTATAAATTGCTTTTCAGTTGGTACAGTTAGTTTTTCTTCTACTTTTACTTTTTGTATTGTTTTGGTAGATATTTTTAATCGTTTTGATTATTACTAAAGGTATTTCTCTTGCTTACAATAAGTAGATTCTTCTTCTTCTTCATCTAGCCATTCACGTCCACATCTGAACATAAGCCTCTTCAAGTCTTCCTTTCCATTGTTTTTTATTGTACGCTACTTGTAGCCAATTTTTCCCGGCAGTCCTATTCAGATCATCTGTCCATCTCATAGGAGGTCTGCCTCTGGGTCTTTTGTGTTGGTATGGTCTCCAGGTTAAAATTGATCTGTGCCATTTGTTTAGATCGCTCCAAGCTACATGTCCAGCGTATTCCCATTTCAACTTTAATGATTTTAGCACCACATCGGTGACTTTGGTTTTCTGTCTTATACATGTATTTCTTTTCTTGTCCTTAAGTGATATACCTAGCATTGCTCTTTCCATCGCATGTTGAGTGACTCTAAGTATATTCATATTCTTTTTTGTGATTGTCCATGTTTGTGCCGCATAAGTTAATATCGGAATAATGCATGCATCAAAAACTTTAGATCTAAGATGTAATTGAATTTGTTGATTTCTGAGTACCTATACAGTTTAGTTTACCGAATGCTGCCCAAGCTAACTTTCTTCTTCTTTCTATTTCTTCAGTTTGAATTTCCCTATTTAGGATTATTTTTTGTCCTAAGTATATATATTCTTCAACTTTTTCTATAACTTTATCGTTTATTATTGTCACGGTGTCTTCGGAGAGCATGATTTTGTTTTGTTTAAATTCATTTTCAGGCCTATTTTAGAAGTTTCGGTATGTAGTTCTAAAAGCATGGTTTGCATTTCTTGTAGGTCAGTAGCTATCAGGATTATGTCATCTGCAAATCGTAGATTACTAAGGTAGCGGCCATTGATGTTTATTCCCTTATATTTCCAATTTAGGTTTTTAAAAACGTCCTCCAAAACTAAGGTGAACACTTTGGGTGATAAAGTATCTCCCTGTTTGACTCCCCTGTTTAATGGTACAGGGTTCGTGTGTTTATTTTCATTTAGGCAGTATGTAGCTGTAGCTTGGTTCATAGTTTCTTTTATTAAGTTAATATATCTGCTGTCTATTTTACAGTTTTGCATTGCATTTATTACGGCCTTGTGTTCTATGGTATCGAAAGCTTTTTCGTAGTCTACAAATGCTAGGAAAACTGGAAACTTGTATTCGTTACATTTTTCTATTAATATTTTTGTGATTAACAGGTGATCGGAAGTTGAATAGCCTTTTCTAAAACCTGCCTGTTTATATGGTTGGTATTCGTCTAATTTCCTTGTTAGTCGAGTAGTTATGACTTTGGTGAGTATTTTAAACAGGTGTGACAGTAGGCTGATGGGTCTGTAGTTTTCCAATTTTCGACTATCACCTTTCTTGTGAAATAAGATTACTTTAGAGTTGTTCCAGCTCTTAGGGACTTTGCCCTGATGTAAACAACTCTCCACAAGCTTAGTTACAATTGCAATTAGTTCCTTTCCTTCTTCTAATATCATATC